ATATACATAATATGGCACTACTATCTGAATGAACAATACTCTCCATTATCAAGGCTCTTTGTGTTAAGGACGGCTGCAAAAAAAAAAAACAAAAAAAAAACGAGACGTGTACGAACGCGAGCAGGTTAATAAAGTATTGTTGTCTTCGAAACCACTGTTGTGTTTAAAATAATCTTAATTTTAAAAAACTGACTCTAAAACCCACCCACTTTGTGTTGGCACTCTCACGTTATCAGCAACTAGGATGAAGGAAGTCTATTGTTCAAAACCCACGCGAAAAATTTTTAAAGAGGCATTAAAGAGGTATTCGTCGCCCACGCCAAGTCTCCGGCTTATCACTACTTCCTATAATACAATAACAAAAATTCGAGTGGGCGTCAGTGTCTTTCTCTCTCCTTGTCCAGTGACGATTCTAAAATCGAATTCGTTATTGGGCAAGGGGTGAATAAAGAGGCCAACACACACTGTTCGCCTTAAGTCAATCAACTTGTTTGCATAGCAAACTCTTATAATAATAGTAACACCATGACAAGCACAAAATTTAGAGGCTATGAACTATTTAAATACAATGATTTTTCATAGTACAAAATAAGAACAGGTGTTTTTATAGAATATTTAAAATGTAATAAAAAGGACAAAGGTTCCCTTATACAGGCTGAGTATGGACATAGTAGACTGGAATGTGGATGAAGACGTGAAAAGAATAGCGTTATTTTACCTTAAAAAGAAACTGATATTATCATATCACATTTTAGTGATTCTAGGGTGGCTAGAAGACGATAAGTCATTGATTTCCGTCTGTCATCAATTTTGTTAATTACTTGAGGGCGGCTTCATCTTATGACCTCGTTATAAAAGTTAAGGTTCCTTAAATTTTTGCCTGTACCCATTGTACTGGGGACAATGCAGGAGGTAATGCATTTCACCTTCAATACCCCCTTTGATTATTCTCCTTGTTCTTTTTGCAGTTGGGGCTTTTTTATATCTTCATCTTTGTTTTTTCCCCAAATCATGGGTTTCTTTCTTACAGTTTGTAAGCGTCGTGTCTCGTATTTGGGTTTATTGAACAATATATTTTTCTGTCATCTTGTCTTGTACATGTAGAAACTGTATGTAGTCAGTGCACTTCTGTCATGGTGTGAAAAATATGCTCTGGCAAACATTTGCATGTATACCGGTACATGAATATATGTATTAAAGGTAGTCCTTATTAAAGTACCAAATCGTTTCAGTGGTACATGTAAGTGATACTAGGACAATCCCCCCCCCCCGGACAATACCCCCCCCCCAGGACAATTCCCCCCCCCCCGGACGATTCCCCCCAAGAAATATATATTTATATACAAATATAAAGTAGAAAGTGTAAATTTTAAAACATTTCATCAATTTTCTTAATATTTTTGGTGTGATAATGTAACTTCATCATGGACAAACCATTTTAAAACAAATTCCCTTTTCATTGAGTACAAGTACAGGAAGATTTATTAAGTATCTAATCGAAGTATAACCACCTTTCCTTCAGGTAAAAGTGGGGTAAACAGATGAACAGGTAAACAGATATTTTATAAATATCTTTGTGTTGTGGGTGGTGGTCAAGCAATTAAAAGTGACAAATAGTCACAGGGATGCCTGGATAAGCGAGAAAATCTGTTTACCCCACCTCTCCCTAGAGATGCACCTTGATTCAAGACTTACTGAATCAAGGGGGGGGGATAAAGCAATTTAAAGTAACAGTTAATTCATCAAAGGGCTACCTGGATGAGTGAGATCGTCTGTTTACCCCTCCTTTACCTGGAGATATATATACTTTGATCAGATGTTTAATAAAATGTTCTGTACTTCTATGTCGAAAATTTCATGTACTCCATGAAAATAAATTGTTTAATAAAATTAATATTATCTATCCTTGATTTGCATCATAACACTAAGAAATATTCAGAAAATGGATGAAAAGATTTGAACTTTGTACTCTTTACTTTATATTTGTATAAATATATATATTCTTCGGGGGGAATCGTCCGGGGGGGAATTGTCCTGGGGGGA